TGATCAGGACTTAAGCATGTTGTATAACTTCTGATAGCTTGTTTAGTGCATACCAGTTATCTTCCTGCTTGTTCAGTTCAAATTACTCTCAGTGAAGTCTTTGCTGTTCCTTCTTAATACAGATGAATAGAGTGCCTTTTCCACAAATGTATGACATTCTTCTTTTCTCTGTGCTTCTGCAACTTACTCTCAGCATGCTAGCATATGCTGTTGGCACAAAGATTCCAGTTGAACAACACTGCTCCTTGCTTTTCTGCTAAGTCTAGTCCAGCTTTTGTTTCAAGGAGCTGGTTATCAAGCTCTTGTTACTGTACACAGTAAAGCTCCTAGTGAGTAAGTCTTCATGCTGTTCTCCATGCTTAGTCTTTGTGCTGCCTCTTTTCTCACCGTCTCTTTGTCATGGTTTAACCCCAGCCTGTAACTCAGCATCAGGCAGCCACTCAGCCACCCCCTGGACATAATAGGGTGGAGAACTAGAAAAAGCCACAGATTGAGATAAGAACAGCTGAATAAATAAAGTACAATATAATACTGTTACTAATAATAATGATAATGATAAGGGAAATAACAAGGGTGGAGAATACAAAACTAAAAGAGGAAAGGGAAAAAAAAGACAAACAGTAAACACAAGTGATGCACAATACAATTGCTCATGACCTGCTGACCCAAGCAGCGATCTGCCCTTCCAGGTACATCCCCCAGTTTATATACTGGTCATGATGTGCTGTGGTGTGGAATACCCGTTTAGGTCAGGTGTCCTCTGTCTGGTCCCTCACAGCTTCTTGTGCTCTTCCTCACTGCAGAGCATGAGACTGAAAAATCCTTGATCAGGGTAAGTAGGGCTGAACAACTAAACAATTGGTGCGTTATCAGAGTTATTCTCAGACTAAAACAAAATCACAGCACTGCACCAGCTACTAAGAAGAAAAATAACTTACAGCTGAAACTAGGACACGCTTAAATGCCAAGTTTATTTTAATGTCACAGGAGCAGGCTAAAAAACACATCTGCCATTTGTTCAAATAGTTTTCACATGCTTCTACTTTAACACACAATACCATCTGTTGAGTTTTTCTGCAAATGGAATCTTTTTCTTCAGTCTGCTCACAAACCTAATTATGAATGTGAGGATTGTAGATGTTGCCTTTTTACGTATACAGCCAGCATTTCTGTAAAAACCAAAATACATCTGCAGTTCTTTGTCTGAATTATTTAACAGATGGCAAAAATGCATTTCAGTTCTTACAGCTATTCCTACTGTGTAGAGCAGTGTTTAGTAAGGCTAGAGTCCAGTGTTGACAGCATACCAGATCACTTAGCATGCTTTAATGCAATGGGGTCTGATCCGCAGCTCTTTCTTATGATTATTTATTTCGTAATACCTATGTTAAAGTGGATAATGAAGCCAAGATGCTTCATGATTTTAATGAGGGCTAAACTTCATGAACTGTCCTACACTTGGAGGGTGTAGGACATTTTCACAAGGAGAACTTTTGAGAATAAGGTGTTTCACTGTAACCTGTTTACCCATCTAAATCCTCAGGCTGTGAAGCCTGAATTGGTCAGACTCTTTCCTGGATATCAATCTTAGTGTTATGAAAAAAAAAAAACAAAACCAACAAGATACCCTAAGGCCTTACTAAAATTCCTCCTCTTCTTCTCTGAATAATTTTTGTCTCACTGGATGAGTTTCTGTAAAGTTGCTTTCAGCTGAAGTGACCAGTTTGAAGGTTTACTGAAGCATCTTAATTTTTATTGCCACCATGCTTCCTCTACCTGATCTAATCACTATTGTTTAAGCTCTAATCCAGCTATTATGTATCTGAGGTTGACATGAGAGTTGAGAAGAAGAGAGCAGATGAGCAGACTGTCAAAACCAGCTGTCAGCGTAGGTAGGAAGAGTGTGAAATTGAAGCAATAACTGGAATATCTGCATCATCTGTTCAGAGATTTTGGAGTATTTGACCAGTTGGCATCCTCCTAGCCCCAGCTGAGTGACAGGATTGAATATCAGTCAGATATCTTTGTATTTTATCTGTATGCATGATACAAAGTCAGGTGCTGGTAAACAGAACAGAAAAAGCTTTAAAATTTGGAGGAAGATTTGAGTCTGGCAGTTGAGCCAACAAGTGATTGGTAATGACAGTAGTTACTGTATTCTGAGGACAAGAATGGTTAAGCTAATAGTTAACTTTGGCTCTTGTAGACTAAGAGGTTTATCATTAGTGTGATGTATTTGTAAACAGACAAGCAAATAAGGTCAGCAGAGGTACTGCATCACTAGATGTCATTGCTAAGTAACCCATTCCTAACAATGGGAGGTGTTAAAGAGGACAAAGAGTGTATTTTCTGGGAGAATTTGAAGTGTCACAAAACAATCTGGAAAATGTAAAAGATTTGGGATTGTAAAGCTCAACTGTGAGAAAGCCAAATTCATTCCCAGCACTCTTCTGTCATTTTCAGCCTTTGGTAGTAAGAGGCACCTGATTTATTCACACATCATCAGAAGGGGAATGAAAAATTTGGAGGAATTCTCCCAAGTTATGTAATGCTGCATTTGGTCTCTTCTGGAGTCCTGGTTTGAGATTTGCATCTAGCCCTATCTTAGTTCATCTGCTGCATTGCTTTTGGTTGATTTTGTTTCTTCCTGTTAATGTGTAAGCTCCCACTCCTTTTAGTACATTTCTTATCTTCCTATTAAATCATTTAATCTGTCCTTTTTGACATTTTTCTATTATCTAGTCAATAAACCTTTCCTCTCCTTCAGCACCAATTTATACACAAACATTCTCTGTAAATACATTTTATGCTGTAAGTGTTAGTACAGAATTATTCTACACCAATTCATTCTGTCCTTGGATATTGACCTTCATGAGAATTTTCTTCATTACTACCTCATTTAGCTTTCTTAGCAATAGCATAAAGCAGCCTTAATGTTGACAAAGCATGATTTACCCATTTTGACATCTGAATTGGCTGTGAAAAGTTAGAAGACAATTTTCATCAATATCAAAAAGCTCTGTTCCAATCTTTGTCCTGCGGAGGAAGGAAAGTGTTAAGCAAAGTGCATATCAAGTGGGGGTTAGTGGGGAGTTTCCTAGAGTTATAAGTTATGTGACCTGTGAATCTTGACAAGTCTCAACAATATGTGGAAAGAGTTGTTCTTTTCAGCACAAGAAGCTGGGAGGGACCAGAGACAGTTGTGCAAGATTCACCTGAGCAGTGGCCAGTTCTATGTCCTTCAGCATATGCAAGCTATCACAGTTTACAGTTGTCGCTGTCATGCAAGGACTGGTAATAAAAATAAGGCAATGGACATAGGATATGGGAAATTCTTTAGAACTTTTAAACTATTCTTAAAGATATTTCTACCATTGGTCATATTTGCCTTCAAACCCACTACATCTTGGGCCTAAAGGATAATAAAGCGCACATCACTCTTGTGTATATGTATTTTCTGCTTCAAAGGTTTTGTCAGGGTTTTTTTTTGGAAAACAAACTTTCCGCTTGGCAAAATGACTGCTTCATGCCTCACATCTATTCCTGAGTATTGGGAAAGAATCTAGATGGAATTTAACTGATTCCACTGACATCTTGCTGACAGACACATTGAAAGGGCTGGAAAAGATGTCATAATCTTTGGTTAAGTAAATATTTGAATCAAGATTGCTCTGAAGCAAACTGCAGAGCAGATGATAATGTAGCTCTTCTTGACTACATCAACAATCATTTTGACAGATGAATTTGAATGCTAATGTTTCATGAATAACATTTTTTTGGTGGGGGAGGAGTTGTATGCAGTACAGAAACTTATCCCCAAAATGTATCTTCATATAAGCAAACTATGAGCATTTTTCAGCTCTTTTTAACAATTTGTTAAGGAAAATCAAATCTCTTCCCTAGTCCCCTGCTTTTCAGAAATTGTACAAAAAGCAGAGAGAAGAGTGACATAATTTTGGAGTGTGACATAGCAGCATTATGGCACTGCTGATGTCTGGATGACATTTCTTTCAGGTGTTTGCTGGTTTGGGCATTATTCTGAGGACAATATTCATCTGTTGAAGGATTTCATCTGAAAATTTCTCTTCACAGTGAGTCCTCAACACTGCCAGTCCTCCTCTTCATTGTAAGGGGTGTTTGTTTTCCATGCTGCAATACCTTGAGAAGGGAACTGTCCTGGGTTCAGCAGTAGAAGTCATTTTTCTCCTTCTTAGCTGGTGCAGTGCTGTGTTTTTGACTTTCTGCGGATGCATTTTTAGCAAAGACTGGCCACGTTCCCAAGTCAGCAGGTGCCTACGTGGAGCTTGACATGAATCAAGAATGAAGAAGGATGTGCATAAGGAAGCAAGAGTAACGGTACAAGAAAGATAAGAAGAAACTGGAATGTGCTAAGATACAGAATAGCGAACTGTTAGCAAGTTTTAAAGGTTAAGTTCCTGTATGCTTATTTGATTAATTGTATACTAGTTGCTGTGTGATGCAAGAATATGTATCAAAGTATAATATACTAAGCTATTGTAGATGTATCTATTTATAATACAGCAAGCTATTGTGAGCAGATGCAGACAATAGTATAAAAAGGGTAGATGCCTTGTATTAAATGGCTTTGGTCTGATCACATTGATCTCTGACTGAGTCCATTTTTTCTGCGGCAATTTTCAGCTGGGGAACAGCACTGATAGCACCGATGTTTTTAGTTGTTGATGAGTAATGTTTACTCTGACCAAGGACTTTCTGAGTCTCATGCTCTGCCAGGGAGGAGGGGAAGCCAGGAGGAAGCAGAGAGAGGACACCTGACCCAAACTAGCCAAAGAGGTATTCCATACCACAGCAACTGGCCCTGACTTCCCTCCGACCATCATTCCAGCAAAGAATGAAAGTTGACGAAACCAGACAAGCTCAGCAGTGACCATACAAGTTCTGCAGTGTCATCAGCAGGCAACAATCCAGCACTGCACACCATCTCTTCTGCTCTGAAAGACTGTTACAAGAGGTGAGACCTGACATCATGGACAGAATGGACTCAGCAGCTTTGTAGCGATTGGTACATGCACTAAGGAATGATATCTCTCTCTCTTTGTGTGTGGGTGTCTCTCTCTCTCTCTCTCTCTCTCTCTCTCTATATATATATATATATATATATGAGATGAAAGTGATAGTATACTGAAAAATGTGGCATCTGAGCATGACATGAATGGCATGGAATAAGGAGTGGATACTGTCCTGGGTTCAGCAGTAGCAGTCATTTTTCTCCTTCTTAGTAGCTGGTGCAGTGCTGTGCTTTTGACTTTCAGCCAGGCAACAACACTGGTAACACAGAAGTTTTTAGTTGTTGCTCAGTAATGTTTAGTGTGACCAAGGACTTTGTGAGCCTCATGCTCTGACAGGGAGGAAGGGAAGCTGGGAGGGAGCAGAGACAGGACACCTGACCCAAACTGACCAAAGAGGTATTCCATGCCACAGCACGTCATGCCCGCTATATAAACTGGGGGCAGTTACCTGGAAGGGCTAGATCACTGCTCAGGTCAGGCTGGGTATTAGTTGGCAGGTGGTGAGTGGTTGTATTCTCTTCCCTTTTTATTTCCCTTATCATTATAATTATTGGTGGTAGCAGCAGTGGTTTCTGTTATACCTTAGTTACTGGGCTGTTTTTATCTCAACTCATGGGAGTTACATTCTTTTGAGTCTCCTCTCCATCCCTCCAGGAGCGGGGAGAGGAAGGGTGGGGAGTGAGTGAGCAGCTGCACTGTTCTGAGTTTCCGGCTGGGCTTAAACGATGACAGGAACGCTTGGAGGATCCTCAAGCTTATATTAGGAATGAATTGTAATTTACTGGAAACAAGACAATAGGCAGTGATCTTATGATGATCTTATGACCACAGACAGCTGTGGTCATGGAGGTGAAACATGGTCAAGATTAAGGGAAGTTTGTGAGATGTTTGCAGTGCAGCACAGTAAGGAAGCATCTATTTGTGGGCTCACACTTGCTACTGTGTCTTTCAGTGACACTTAGTAACAAACACCACAGAATATCCTTTCTGCTTGGTATAGCTGCCCTGCTTGCTCCTCGGTTACTGCTTCATGGGTTTTCCAGGGACCAAGCAATAGTATTGTGAGAGCGCATTTCTGCAAAAATTGTCTAATGGGAATAGGAATCAAACCTGCTTCCTTTCTCATTCCTTATGACATGCAACCTGAATGCAAAAACAGGTATAAATGATCTTGAGAGTTTGGTGATAACTGACGGGTACACGAATCCCTGCAGCAACTTAACCCAAAGCTTCTATGAACTAGGAATGGGACTAGCAATTTGAAGTTGTTTGTAAGTGGAGCCAATTGAATCCTGTTGGTTTGCAAAACTGAGCTAACTAGTTTCAACTCTTTCCCTTCTTTTCCCCTGATTCTTTTGTAAAACTTATATAAAGAAAGATCTTTTACTATGGGAGTTAACATTTTTTCCTGTGTTAATAACACAGGGATGAAGATATGCCAAAAAAACCTTTAGGCATTGTAGTCTGATCACTAGTTTGTTCTTTAGGTGTAAGTGATATTAGTACTGTTTGCCAAAAATATAGTGATTTATCAGCGTCAAAGATTGTAAATTCTGTGAAATATTATCTAAGAAGTGGTGCATCTTATTTGGGAACTTAGAAAGGTTGGTCTAGAACTGTCTGGAAGCAAAATACAGACCAGGTAAAAAGCCTGGAAGAGGGTCTGATCCAGGACAAGGAAGAGGAGGAATGCTGTCTCTGTTTCAGAAGGAATGTTGAGTTCTATGAAAGATGCTGTTGCAGATCAGTAGTTTAATGTGGGACCCTTCAGTGTCTTTGGAAGTAAATACATTAACCACAGTGGGATACAGGTAGGAGCAGATTTGTAGAACAGAAGTGGATAGTAAAGACCTGGTAGGAGTGAGGAGGATCTTACTTTAAACTACCTTTATTCTGGTTGTATGGACTAAATGCCCCCTAGTAACAGAGTGGGCTTATTGTGCTGCCAGTGAGTAGTTTTTCTTCAAAATCTTCTGAAGGAGAATCCCTATTACAATTCTGTAAGTCCAAGTGTCATACAAACCAAAGTGGGCTCAGGACAGCTGAGGTATTTGCTTCTAAAATGCACTGCTGACCCAGGCTAATGTAGACCCCTTTCTTCTTCTAGAAATCAAACCATTCTGTAGTCCTACCTGATAAGTGGAACGTCAGCCTGGGACATGTCTGCCAGGGAGATCAGCCTTTCCGGGTTTCTTTTTATGGTAGCTGAGACATGATTTCTCCTAGATTGAGTTGCCTCTCATGCTGATCGTGAAACACCTCCAAAGAACAGCCTGGAAGGTCTTCCAGATCTTCTGATTCTACCACTGGGAGCTAATGAATAATAAAGCATTCTAATATGCAATTTGCAGAGTGCATCTCCACTTAAGCTGCTAATGCTCATTCTTGATATCCAGGCTAACAAAACTTGGTTTTACCCAGATGTTCTGCTGAGATAAGCTCTCTTTATACTAGATTCTCAGCAGGAAAAGAAGGACATTAGTATTCCCCTATGCTGAATTCAGAATCTACTGGAACACATAATTTTTATCAAGAGTACCATTACTTTTTTATTTTCACAGGTTTCATTATATAGCACTTCAGGTCTCAGATTTGCTGAGGGGCACAGGAAGTTAAACTTGCTCTTTTACACTTTATTTTTGCCATCCACTCCCTTTACTCATTGATGTAGGTGACACCAACGGGACCTTCTGAACAAACCAGGATAAATGATGGCTATTTACAAAAAAGTGAGAGTGCTTACCTGTTAGGGAGATAAGTCACCTTGGATGCCATCTGTTCTCACAGGGATGCCTGCTATTTATTCCTACAGCAACTGTGTTTTGTGCCTGTGAGAGCTCTTTAAAATCATATCAATAAAGCAGCTTTGTTGGAATCTATAAAGCATCAGAGAGGTCACTGCCCTGGTAATGTCTTCTGTTGTTTAGTGCTTGTACAGTCATCCTGGTTGGGTACCTTGAAGGGAAAGTAAAGGGATGATTTGATTGAGAAGGGATTGGCGTTTCCCCCCTAATTTTTATACAATTTTTTTTCACTGATATATCAAAATGGGCCATGGGATATTTGGTAAAAAGAAAACTTTTCCCCTCAGTGCACTTCCCAGTACTGCTTTTCTACATATGTGTGCTTACTTCCAGGTCTAATGTTCATGCCCTCTAGCAGCAAGGACATGCAGAGAGGATGTCACATCTCTTGCTTCCAAATGATAATGGAGATTTTTAACCCAGGAGAGAGGTCTTTGAGGATCTGAATGTTTTCTTTGAAGTCAGACTAGGGGCAGATTACAGAAAGAGGGGCTGCATCTGAAAACAAATTTTGTTATTTTTAGATGTGAGTGCATATCCCACGTCTGTAATGGGTGATCTGAACCCCTGCATCACTTCACATTTGAACAAATCTGCTGTTGTACAGAGGCCTGAGTTTTATGAAAATCTGCCTCTTTCTGCCACTTCTTTTCTGGGAGAAAAACACCAGATTTGCTGCAACCCCCCTGCCCTCCCTATCTTCTGGTTAGTAGGCCATGACAGTGAGTGTCAGTGGGGTGTCAGAGCATCAGTGAAGTAATGATTATGTGAAAAAACCTTAAAACATTGTGTTGTCAGACTTTGTGCTCAGATCTCTTCTGCTGGTATCTAAACTGAAACCTGAGCAGTCTCTTCCACCAGTATAACTATAGTGTGACAGTATACATTAATGAGAAGCTCCAGAGGTGCATTTTGATGTGAAATTGGATTTATTTTTTTTTTACAAGACTAGCCTACTTGTTTTGTTGTTTTTTTAATACTATTTTTCATTTCTTAGTAGAAGCATGTCCAGGCTGAACTGCTGTTTTTGTTTGCTACGAAAAGCAAATCCTTTGTTTAATTATTTAGGTGCCTGGTTGACAACATATGGATATCTTGCAGTGGATACAAAAAAAGAGCCAAAAAAATTATTTTTAGAAAAGGAAGATATTCTGGAAGAAGTTATTTTAAACATTGAAGTACTGACCTCTGTGCTGCATGCCAAAACCAAGGCCACAACACTAAATGTAGGGGGCAGAAAGATGTTCTGCCTGCTTGACCAAAGTCTGGATCTTGAAGAATTTCCTTCCCACTTACTAGGACTCTTAACTTCAACACCTTAAGGAGGTGCCTAATGTAACAGCATTTTTTTTCTTCATGCATGATGTTGAAGACCATGATAAGCAGCTGGAGCACATGCAAGGACTGGGTATTTAACTCTCTGGTACACCATGCAGGGCTTTGAGGAAGAGGACTAGGGATAGGCAGGTATGTTACACAGAGCCATCTGATCTTCCCTGGGAAACATGAATGTTCTAGCTGAAGGGAAAAGGTCTGAAGTACCAGAGGTGGGAGAGGGAAGAGGAAAATAATTTAGTTGCCTGGCAGAGACCTGGGGAAGACCTTAAATGTATAGACCTTAGTCTGTATGACCATGACTACAGTCATGGACAATGGGGACTAATTACTTGCCTCTACTTAATAAAGTAGCACAGTTTACACATTGTAAAATTCTTCTGTTTAAATAACCATTGCTTTTTGATTAGAGCAAACGTCTGGAGTTTGATTTCCTATAGGACCTTTCTTTTAGAAGAGGAAAATGGTTTCTAAATCTGCTCTAAGGAATCCTTCTTGTTCAAAAAGAAAAGAAACAAGATGTAACCCTGACATGGCATGGCTGAAAACGTTTTCTCTTTTTTTTCAGGACCATTTTAGCCATCTCCTGTTGGGTCATCTTTTTTATCCCGCTTCAGCATGGCTATTTTACTTCCTTGCTGCTTTTTTCTACCTACTTTGTTTCACAGAAATCCTTCTAAAAGGACAAGTGCTGTGTGAGCATGGACATGTTCTGCTTGTTTGGATGGAGAGCCCTCTTTAGTTAACCTGCTTTTATAGAGAAGCTGAACTAGGCTGAATGGATAGTAGCAAATCTGCTTCCCTCTTTCAGTTTCAAGCTGCAGTTATTTAAATCATTGTTCAAGTATGTCTTGACCGATCTGATATTGGTAATGTTGTTACTTCCACTTATTTAACTTAGCTGGAG